ATATTTTAGTTTTACAACTCTGTTATGCTGGCAGCCACAATGGTGTCTCAGAGAAGTCAGCATATGAGCCCTGCTTGTGATGACATCTGGAAAGCTTGTTTTATCTATAAGCACAGTTGTAGACAAATGAAAGCAGACAGATGTAAGGCTGGGGTGGCATCTTCGCCTCAAGCAGTCTCTGGCTGTACATTTTCCAGTGTGTCAAAAACAGGGAGCTTTTTTTCAGGGGTGGAATAAAAACATTCTGTCACATGCATACCCAGCTACCGTGCTGCCTTGCCTGAGCTCTGAGGTGTAAAATGGCATACACTGTTCGAAATTTAGCAGGAGCAAGAGATAGGAGCTAGGAGGAGGTGCCTGCGTGTAAAGGGTACTTGACACAGAGACACGAGAAGATGTGGTGTCATTTTCAGTTCATCACAACCCCTGTCTCCCAGAAGAGCCAGAAGGAATAAAAAGATTCGTGAGACAGGGATTTGGAGGTCCAGGTAGAGCTTTCTCTTGCTGTTATCTTTACCACATCATCAGTCACTGTGTACAGACCCCACCACGTACAGAGGAGAGGTCTACATAGTAGTTGGGGTGGGTGGGCCACAGGAAGCTTTAGGGTAGGGTTGTGCTTGAAGATGAGATCTCAGAAGTCGGAAAATCAGTGACATCGTGTCTGGTTGGCTTACGAGTCATTTGGCTCAGGGATCATTCTTCACCAAATTTTACACAAGGACAGTTGGCCTCTTACCCAACTCTGGTTATTACAGAGTTAAGTATCCCTCAATGTATATTGTATTATACACACACACTGACGTATTTGCTGGGATTTGGGTTAAAGCAGAGACTTTGCAAAGTTCCTGGCCCTCCAGCAGCAACAGAACGTACTATACCTGCAGCGGGTGTCAAGTTCCTGTTTTTCATGTGTGGTGACTTACGGCTCTGTATTTCATGGTATATACTGAATACACCATGTAACCGTTGCTAATTATTGTTAGATATGTTTCACTGCAGTTTTAGGAAGCTGAATATGGTCTTGTTGAGCATCTCTTTAAGGGCTGGATTGCCCACTTGCAGCCCAAAATGCATAACTTGATAGTATTGGAGTCTTGTATCTGAGGAAACCACGCAGACACGTGTCATCTGAGAGCAGTGACTCAGTGGAAATGAAGGGAAGAGAGCAGGGTGGCCTGAGCAGGTGAAATCCGTTCAGAAACTTAACGCCAGGACACAAGTCTCTCGGCTTCAGCAGCAAATGTCTTTTTCCGTAGCTCGAGGTGGTTGAAAACATCCTCTTGTTTTTCCTTTTTCTTCTCAGCAATACAGTTGCATTATGCTATCAACAGGGGAAAAGGCGGATGTCCATTTCCTGTCCCATCCCCACCACACCGTCATCAATCCTTTCAAAGTGCACAGTGCTGAGAGCCACTGGGCCCCGATAAGTGCCTTTGTGGATACAAAATGGCACTTTTTTGTTTTACATGCTCTTAGGCATGGTGGAGTAAATATACGTGTAATCGAAAATGCGCAGCACACTGCCATTTGTACCTGCAAAGACTAAGTGGTCTGGTCAGATGGATCATTGGGATTTTAGTAACACCTCCGTGAACTGATGAGCCGACCAGGGAAAGCCCCTGGACCTTTGCATGACTTTTCACTTAGAGCCACGTGTGGGGCCACTTACTCCGTCAGTGTTCTTTGCAGTCTGGTCTAGCCCCAAGTGTCCTGGGTTTTTAATGCCGTAGTGGTTGCCTACTCTGAATTTATTCATACAAATTGGAAATGCAGAGAGGAAGGAATCATTTCTTGATGCTGGGCATCCTGGTTTTATCTGATAACATTAGTGTTAGGGGTAACAGATTTTGTCAGTTATCTGCATGCAGGCTATGGAGTTTGATAGCCAGTAACATTTCAAAACTGAGAGTCACAGAGACAGTTTTTACTGAGTCTTCCTCAGAGGCAACTTATCATTGAAACTATTGAAACAGAGACCATAATTCCTTCTTGTGTCATTCAATAGAAGAGATTTTTTTCCCCCTCTTGGTTTGAGTTTCCATGGTTGAAATACTAAAAGTAATTTTTAAATGTGTGCTAATACAATTGGATTGACATACAGTAGCCAGCAGGGAACTTGTGCTGATACCAATTTGATTTGTTTATAAATTAAACAGTTCTGCTAAATCTGCTATAGCATCATTCAGTCATCTTGAATTAATCAGATATATCCTTTAAGATGCCATCTCCTGGAAGGCTTTGTTTGGCCAAGATTAAAATTATTCTTTTGGCAACATTAAACCAAAATTATGGATCCCCTCATGGTGTTAGTTAATATTAAATTTTTTTATTGCCATTTGTCAATTTTGTATTATCATTATGATTATTGACAACACTTTGGTGTCTACAGTGTGCCATAGTGCTAAGTGTTTACATGTGTTTATTAGGTGCTTATTATATTATCACAGACACTTTGGAAGTTAGATCATCATGTATAATTCTCATCCTGATCCTGCAAAGTTGGTACTACGATTACATTATTACCCCCATTTTGTCAACGAAAACACAAATTCAGTGAGGTTAATTTACTCAAGATCACACGTCTTCTTTACATGTTATGTTGTATGTGCGTATAGGTGTGTAGGCATGGATTTCATTTCCAGCATAAAACACTTAGTTTCTGTTCCAAATATATTATAACCATAAGGTGCCTTGTACGTGTTTTCTACTCCGAAACAACCGAATAATGTATTGATTTTTCTTTAAAAAAAATGCATTGAGATTGAGCATTGGTTCGATTTCCCAACTGTAAATAACCAATCAGTTGCTAAGTTGGCACGAACATCAGTGATGGTAATGATGGAAGTATGGTTTTCCATCAGGCATGGAGTTCTTCTGTTTGATAGAGAGGCAGTGCGCTGGATTGGTTGCTCAAAGTCTGTAGCGTAGGTCACTGGAGTTTGAATCCCACCTCTGCCACTTGTGGGCCCCGTGACTCTTTGTGCCTCGTGTTTCATATCTTTAAAATGGTGCTGATAGTGTTGCCAGAGCTGCTCCAGGTCTTTGCTCAAACCTGCCAACCCCATCTTTAGCAGGAGTGTCCTTGCTCAAAACCTGCCAACACCCACCCTCCATTAGCAGGAGTTAACGTAAATCTTTAAACAGCCCAGAGATAAGAAAGGAAGCTATAAACAAAAAACCCAGATGGGACGAGCTAGGACCATGATGGCGACAGATCTGACCTCCAGCAGATGCCGAGGCTCACTGTCGTTGATTTGACTACATTAGCATATTAAATGACACACCTACTGGTGGCCATGCTTGGATGTTAAAGACCGAAAAAGGGTATAAAAGGGGTGGCAGTCCACTTCCTCGAAAAAGCCCTGCCCCTTCCCCGGCAGGCTAAGGGATATGCCTCCCCAGAATCAGCCTCACTCTTTAAAATTAAACCCCTCTCCCCACGTGGACGTGAAATTGATCTGTGAACTTAGTTCCAGCTTTTCCATTCTTTGGCCAAAGCTTGTGCTGTGTCCATCTCAGCTTCGGTTTGTTATTCCGCTGTCCGAAGGAATAAGAATCCTACCCCGCCGAGCCAGAGAGCCTGGGCCAGGCTAGGGCTGGAGTAGGAGCCACACAACTTAATTTGGTAACAATAGTATTTATGGTATGTAGTCAATGAAGATATTCCATGTATTGAATGAACTAAAATATGCAAAGCACTTAGACTGATACCTGCCACATAGCAAATACTGTAGGGGTATTAGCTGCTAGAATTGTTTTATGGATATTATCGTGAAAATAACTTAAGCTGACCCATGGGGGAGCCACAAGCAGCTTCCAAGTAATTTTCAAATTTTTAGAAACATTTGGAGGCAGTCAAAGGTAAGTATTCTTCCAAAGGTCAAGCTATTCCAGATAACATTTTACTATCTTTCTGCTGAGCTGTTAAAATAAACAGATAAATACCCTAGCAGATATTCTACCAAGAGTGCATAAAGAAAAAATTTAGAGCTCAAAGGCAAGTAAGATTATATTAGTCTAAATTAAGCATTTGAAATGTTTATATCTGTTCTTTAAAAATGAGTGCTGACCCAGTGATATCAGGAATTTTTCCCCCCTGAAATTGTAAATTATATGACTGTTGTCTCATACTGATCAATGATACATAAAAAAAGATCCTTACAAGCAAATACAATAAAATGATAATTGTAGAATTTAGATGGTGGATATATGGATGCTCACTGTACAGTCCTTTCAACCTTTCTATATGTTTGAAAATTGTAATAATAAAATATTGGTAGGGGGAGACTCTTAGAATGCTGCTTCTCAGTCACTGAAGGGAAAATAAACCCCTCTGAGGCTTGAAAGCCTTCCCCACACCCTGTGTTCTTTGGCATGAGGTAGATGGCAGACCAAGCGGTGTGGCTCGAGCACAGGAGCACACCCTATGAAATCCCACTCCAGGCTAAGTTAGAGATGTATTTTCCAACTGCCAGCTTTTTTTTTTTTTTTTTTTGGAGTCCTTTTGTTTTGTGTGTGTGTGTGAATCCCCATTTGCATTTTGGTCATCTGCCTAATATCAGTGTCATGCTGCTTTTTAGTCAGAGCTGGAAGATCTTTGAGAAGGAGTTGAGAACGCAGAGGACCACAAAATTGTTATTTCAGCTTAATGACACTCTTACACAGTGACATCCCTTTGTAACTTAGTGGAGTTTGCCAGGAGCTTTATGGTTAATGTAGAGCTCACATTTTCTGAAGCTAACAACATCTGTACATTAGATGATCTTTTCTTATTACATCTAGTAGTCCTTTCAACTTGTAATTTGTGTTAAAAGGTGTTTTTAAAACAACTGTTTTGCGTTACGCTCACACTGCTCATTGAAGAGGAAGATCAGAAATTAGGTTATAGGTGCCACTTAAGAAAAAGGCAGCATTTTATCACTATACAGAATGTAAGTGTTAAGTTGAAAATATTTGTATTCTGGGTCGTTTATGTCATGTGCCTTTTTAAGAAAAAGTGCATTTGCTCATTAATGACAGAGCTATGGCAATGTTGTAAAATATCCCCTTCTCTCTGCCGCTCAGACACATCCCGAATCTTTTAATTCTGGGGATCCCATTGTGTGATGAGCATTGAGCAATCGAAGGGTGACCACCAAGAGTGACCAGGGCCGTGGACGGTCTACAGGCAAACCGTCGGTGGGTCAGTTGAAGACACTGACAGTGTTTGGTCTGGAGAAGAGCCTGCCAGCGTGGAACCTCCTGCCCATCGGTAAGGGCTTCCACATGGATCAGGAAGCACACTGGCTCGGCTGATGCCTCAGAGGACTGAGATTTATAGAAAGGCAGACTTCAGCTCCCTAGAGGGAAGGAAGTGTGGCAGTCAGAGCCCTGGAACGGTGAAATGCACTGCCTCGTAATGTAATGAGCCAGAGGCAGATGTTTTCTTTTGCTTTGTTTTTTTTTCCCCCTGCCAGACGCTCCTATCATCTGTTTGCAGGATATGGAAGGATGCAAGCACCCACCGCAGGCTTTTTCTAAGGAGAAAGATACTTTCCCAGCACCTACAGAAATATGTGCTAAGAAATTAAAATAAGGGGGCAATGTACCCCCCACCCAAAAGCAGAGACACCTCTTCATTCTGGGAGTCAGTTCCAGTGGCAAAGCTATAGGAATTTTCTTTCCAAGTCTACTCGGAAGATGCCAGTCTTTCGGGGGGCACTTAAGGGAAAGTAAATCTTAAGTCAGGATTCTAATACAGTGAACTAAATATATTCCTTTTTTATTTAAAAAGGCAGATTTGATCATGTTAAAGCTGGAATGAAAACATAATTATTTAATACTTATCCTTTCTCCCTACATATTTTATAAACTTCATTTTTTTAAGGTTATAAGGAAATAATCTAGATATATCAAATGCCTCCTACTGAAGGCCTTAGTTTTTCAGTATGTTTGGAACTACAAGCAAATCATGCGCACAGCATTTTTGTTTCTTGTGTTGAGGAGGTAAGCACAAACAGCTAAAAATTGAAAGATGCTTAGGTAACAGATCAAGAGAATAATAGAAGAATATACCCTGTTTTTGGAAAAAAATGTTTGACTTTTTTAAAACCTGACTGTCACAGTGAGGAGGCCTTGGCTATATTGCTTGAAGGTTTTAAAGTCTTGGTTTGTTAAGAAAATGAAGGAGAGTTGATTTTGTGATATTTTCTTTTAATTTCCTTGTCACATTTTTATCAAGCAACGTTTGTCTTGAGAAGCAAATGCTAGAAACTGCAGAGAGTCAAACACATTCCAAGGAGGAATGAAACTCCTACCATCCTTGAAGGAGCGCTCTTTCCCTGTCTTGCTTCTGCCTCTTCCCATTCCATCCCAGCAGAGCAACGTTGGGGCTCGGGATGCCCTGCATTTAGGTTCCAGTTGAGTCTCGAGGGCCCTCCTGGGGACTTGTGCTTCCTTCTTGTTCTTCTGGATCCTGCATTCCTTCCAGCCATCTTCACTCGGTTCTTTTCCCACTGTAAGCACACGTAAAACCGACACATTGTGAAGTTTTTATGCATTTCAGAACCTTTGCTGCTTTATACTGATTGAACATATGATTTCAGGAAGCCACCTTGTACCACAAAAGAGCTGTAGAAAATGACAGGCATTTGGCATGTTTAGGGAGACTGTCAGGAGACAGTGGGAGATGAACTCAGCGTTCAGCCATTTAACAAACGTTTGTTGAGTTTCTCCTGTGTGCTGGACAGTGCTGTTAATTCTAGAAGTTAAAGTGGTGACCAAGACAGGCATGGTTCCTGCCCTAATGGAGCTTACAGATCAAGGGGGGAAAATGGTGTCAACTAATCACATAAGCACAGTACACACAAATTGTAAATTATTTGAACACACGTATACACACAGCTTTAAAAATCAGGTAACCTAGGAGACTCCTGGAATTGCTTTCTTGATAAAGTGAGCTTTGAGCAGAGATCTGAGCCGCAGTTGTTGAGGGGCTGGGCGGTGCTGGGGGTTTAGAGGCGGAGGTGCGCACCTGCTGGGAGAGCTGGAGTGTCCCTGGTGTGTTGAGGGGAAGCTCAAAGCAGTGCAGGGCCTGCCTTGGATTACACATTTCCTCTCTGCTCTGCTGCTGTTTTTTTCTAGTCCTTCCAGAACTTTCCTAGGACCATCCTCTGCAGGAGAGAATATGCTGGTTTTATTCCAATGAATCATGATCCTCCAGTATTTCAGATGATGATGACTTAGAGGAGGAGCAGAAGTAGCAGTGGTGTCAGTATCTCAGCTCTTGACACCCGATCTTTAGGGGGAAGCCCTTTCGGTTATTAATGGTGGATGAAGCAAAACTCATTGCGTCTGGGCTTCCCCTCCAGGCTGCCCCGGGTAGGGAGTTGATAAGGGATCTTCTGGACTTGGGAATTGCTTCGCTGTTGACAGAAAGACATGGTGAATTTGATTAAATTAAATTAGGAGCATGTGTATGCTTGACAAAGTGAGCTAATGAAGGAAAATGCATCAAAAGGATTTATGGTGAATTGATTAAAATTTTTCTCTGCAGAAAGCCCTTCCGGCTTAACGCTTGGAATTAGAAGGCTATCGGTGCTCGTATGCCCTCCAGGTTCTCGGTCGCCTTTACAGTAGGCAGTTTGGGGACTTTTCTTCCCTTTGAGCAGCCGCTCCATCTACAGCCTCCTCCATTGCAGGCAAAAGTATTCCCAACCTGCAATCTGAATTGCACGGAGGAAAAGAGGATAAAAGTCACTATTTGATTTATTAATTTCTAGTGGATTAGAACGACAAATGTTTGCTATGTTTTTAATTTGAGAAGTAGAGAGAATCACAGCAGCTTTTAATTATGCATTTTGTGTAATGCAGCTCTGAATAGAGCAGAACAAAATTAAAATTGTGGATCAAATACTAAATCTGAGTGGATGCTAAAGTGAGCTGTAGTGTAATGCTAATGGTTTTGCGTCTTCCTGGCATTATGTCAATAATGGCTCTAATCACATTAAGTAGAGAGCCCATTAGCTTTTTCTTTGCAGCAGCATGCACCATAGCAACATACCGTGAGTTCTGAAATAACTTTTGACATATTTTTAAAAGCTTTGCCATGTTCAGGCTCAGCGGCAAGTATGTAACATGCGCGTGCAGACGCAGTTGTGTTCCCAGAGCTGTGTGTGCGGGGATGTTCTTGTGCTCGTTTGGTCATATTAATCCTACCTAACGTTGTCTCAGGAAAATGCAACCTAGTACCCTTATCTTCATAAATGTAGTAACTTCTCTGCTATTATCGTGAGATTAAAGCTTTCATGGAATTTGTCATGGTGTAAAACCAGGTCTGCTTGTGTAGCATTGTACCTAAAGGGATCAAAGGCCTTTTGCTATTTCCTTTCTTCGCTCTGTTGTCAAACGGGATGGCATTTTCTAACTACCCATCCCTCCACAGTTCTAGTACTAGATACAACCTGGAACAGAGAAGTCTGGTTGAGGTTATTCCGCTTTTATGCCCTTCCAGGTCCATTTTGTTGGAAAGCTTTGTGCTCCCAAGATGAGCTTACCCTGGGCGATCGTCATGGGCGTTCTTAGGCTGGGAGACGAGCATTAGTCTAGTGTGTGAAGAGCTCCCTGAGTAGTATCTTGGGAGAAATACTGAGTACTTTAAACTTTCAAACATTTTAAAAACATACAGAGAAAGTTTCAAGCATACCTGAAATTCTCTGGTTTTTCTGTTCTTACACTGTATGAAAACAAAATGGGAAGTTGAAGGAATTTTCAAAACAGCAGTGTCTTAGAGACACTTTATTCTCAATTTGTATGTGACCTGATGACTTAGCCTTCTCTCCCAAACCTTCACCCAACCAGTATCTACCTGGACAACCAGACTTACAGTATTGGGGATCCATCTTTGATGTTTTCTTCTTTCCCACCTCTTCTGTCTAATTGCCTCCTGCCCCGCCACCCCTCCCCCAATGAGTTGTCATGTCAGCCTTCTAAACAGCCCTGGACCTCTCCCTTCCTCTCCACCCCTCGGCTCTTGCCTATTTTCGCAAAAAGGTTCCTAAATGTTCCTCATTGTGCTGCATTATGAATGACTTTAAAAAGCAACATGTAAAGATATGTATATGGAACCGAGTTTTTGCTAAGAGGTCTTCTTTTAAGTTGGGGTGCATATTCCTAACTTGTATCCAAGACGCATAGTCAAGGGTAAGCAACATTCAATTTTACTGCTGATCAGTATGCATTCTCTTAGTGCAGTTACGAAGAACAGTTCTCTTAGAACTTGAAAGCAAATGCTACTTCAGTCAAGAGTTGGGTATCTTGTCTGTTTATCTTGGTATCAAAGACCCAGAGAATTTGGAGACACATCACACAGCTTTTAAAATTATTCAGACAAGCTGTAATATCACATGACTGTTCCCCCAAATGGTAAGACATTACTCACTGGATCTTAAGACATTTTAAGTACTTAATCATCATAATACCTTAATGAGATAGTCAGGAATGAAATTTAAATCACTTTAAATTGGGGCAAGGAGAGGTGAAGTGACTGCCCAAGTCTGCTTTGACAGTGGTCAAACTAGGATCAACTCCAGAAATAGGTGCCTTTTTATTTTTATGTGTTAAGGGATACTTCCATTTAGCCTTTTAATTCAGAAGAGTTAACTTTAGGTGCTTAAAGGAATTCGTAAGTGTAGCAGCCCCAACTTTCAAAACACTTTCAGGTTGGTTTCTCATTAGAAGCCCATAAGGCAAAAAGGTTTGGTCCCCTTTTGAAGATGAGGAAGATGACACGTGGTTTGTCATGACACAGTCTACATTTTTCCGACTCTTGGTCCATGGCCTTCCATTATGTCATGCTGCCGGAATGGCTACCCTCCTCCGCAGAGATGCATGTTCCACGGTGACAGGGTGGATACTGGGAGCATTCCATCTCACAGCGAGAGCTGAGAACCATCTGACCTCCCCATCTAGTACCTTGCCCCACTGCAGGGTGTCTGTCCTCCAAATATTGAGGTCTCCTTTCTGTCTAGATCTGCCTTGAACATCTGCACAGCTCCAGCTGCCACCCTTGGGAGGATGACCCATATCTGACTCCCATACGTCAACCTCCCTCTGTGCCTCACTTCCACATTTTCAAATGTCCACTGACTTGATACCAGGTGGCACTATCAGCAGATCCAGATCAGCATAACTAAAACTGAATTTTTTATATTTCACCCTCTTTCCTAAGCAGTTATTCCTCATAACCTCCCACACTGACCTTTCACTGACTCTTCAGTAGAGCCTCCAGAGGCTGGGTTCTGTGGTGTGTCTTGTGGGTCTGCAGTTTGATAAAGTAGTCTTTGCCTCCAAGAGACTTAAAAGAAGAAGCAATATAACATGTGAATCATACTTGTATCTCAGAAGTTTCACCGTGTTTGAAGGCTAGAGACTAGTTGAGGACTGAGGAAATGGGGGGCCCATTCTAGGAGGAGGTAGAAGGTAACTGATCCCAGTGACCTGGTCTGAATTTTTGTTCTCAAAAGGTGCACAGTTGAATAAAGGCGAGGAGACATAAGCAAGAACCTAGGTGACGATGAAGCAATCAGGACATGTTGAAAAAGCTGAGTTCTGAGTTTTTCCCAGTTCCCATCATTCTGTCAGTCAGTCACATGCAGGGCAGCCTCTCCTGTGAGCTGTCATCACCTTTACTACCCACACATCCCTGCCCCAGCTCACTCATCCCTCACCTGCTTCCTTCCCTCCCTCTTTCCTCCCCTCCAGGAAGTGGGAGGGGAAAGAGAAGAGAGAGAAGAGAGTAATAGCCATACTATCCTAGGTTCTTTTCCCTTTTGTGTCACTGCAGGGCAATTTAGTGTTTGTGGGGCCTTTAGAATTTATCTTTACAGACCGGAGAGAATCACCGGTGTAATTTGAACATCGCTTCTTTCAGAGTTTCTCGTTCCTCTAAGAGGAATGCAAGATTTATTCCTGATAAGCTCAATTTTAGTCATGCACACTATCTGGTTTGTTAGCAATGTTTAAAAAGCACACACAGTGATAAAATGTAATATTCCATAGCACATGGGCTGAATAGCTCATAATTAATTTAAAAATGCAAGATTTTAAAGTAGATATACATTCCCTCAGCAAGCATTTTTCAGAAGCTTGCTCTGGGCCCAAGTGCTCTGAATATAAAGGTAAAAATCCTCCAGGTTTGTTGACAAAGGTTTGTTGTTATGCCGACCAGCAGTTACAGTGCCATGTAACACTTGTGTCGTTGGAGGTGTGGACAAATGGAATATATGAGTATGTGCTTTGGTGTCAGGCCTGGGCCTAAATACCTTCCCTGCCTTCTGTGAGCTGTTATCTGTGGATAAATTTTGGACCTTTCTAAGCCTTAGCTTAGAGCTGGTAATAGTACCTACCGTGTGGTGATGGTTGGGGAAAGTATTAAGATCGCACATGTTCAGTAGCTAGCAGAATACTTGGTGGAAAGCGAATGCTTGTAACAGTGTTAGCTGTTGTCACTGCAGCGTTGTTGGAAAAAGGAGCCTCTGAGTGCATCTTGGGCAGAGAAGACGTCACAAAAGAGGTAGACAGCAACTGAGGTGACACTAAAGAAGTTGAGAATAGGGGCTTCTCAGGATCAGAGTATTCCATCCAGGCTAACAGAACAGCATCCGCTAAAACAGAACCGTCAGGAGCTATGGCCTGTTCCAGAATTTTGTGACTCGGTATTGCCAGAGCATAAGAAAATTCACAGGCAATAAACCTGGGGCCAGACCTGGAAGGGCCTTGTTCAGAAAAAGGCATTTTGAGTTTATGGTCTGGGCCAGTCATGGTCTAAGTGGTGTGCTTATGGTATAGACATTGAGAAGTGGGAAGGTAATGTTAAATTTCTATTTATTATTTCTTACCCTGTTTTAAATTTGCCCTGTAGTGTTCCTAATATGCATAGAATACATTAAGTAAGGCACTGCGTATTAGTCAAGCAGTACATGTAGATGGTTGGAACATGATATTCAGCCAGTATGCAGGTGTGCCTGTAATGATTATTTTTACGGCTGGTGTCTTTCTGATTGGTTATGGCAGCCATTCAGATTGATTGTTGCCCAGTTATTATTAACAGTTATTTAATAACAGTTATTAACTAGTTTTGATAGAACTCCTTCGAATAAGTGTGCCAGTGTTGGGCTGTGTACTCATGTTTCCTAACTGATCATGAGTTGTTGACGCCTGCTCTGGGAGAGGGGGCGCCACTGGAGGATCTGGGGCAAGGGAGTGAAATGATTAGAATCATCCCTGGGGAATGTCCCTGAGGGCTGTCAGCACTGAGGAAGTTTAGAAGAGATGCCACCAAGAGATTTATTTAGGTCTCAGCACATAGTTCACAGTTGAGGCACAAATACCACCTGTCTTGATGGAAGACTTACAGAAGGAGAGCATGAGAGGTCTAACTTCTCAAGGGTTGATGCATAGAAAAGATGCTGCTCACATTTGAAAGAACAGCATTGCATCATAGTGTGTAATGTTGCAAAACAACAAATCCAGTGAGAAAACTGAGGACTTTTTTCAAAATATTCAGAAAAGAAAGGAAAAGTAGGAATATGAAGGAGAATACAGATACGATATTTAAATAACTGTAATAACCTGAATGGCACAAGCATTGTACAGTAAGAAGATGTCTAGACATGAGCTCGTGTTCCACAGCAGTCTTAGCGCATATCAACTTGACATTAGCCTGGGGGGGGGGGGAATAAGTAAATATATAAATATTTGAGGGCCTTAAAGATTTGTTAGGTATAATTAGCCTGTCCTGTACTGCCTTCCCATTTGTAAACCATTTATCTTTGTCTTCTTGAGTTATGAATATGATACTCAGAGGAGAAATTATGAAATGATCTCCAGTCAGTTTTTTTATGTAACCCTCATTTGTGACAAATGGGAGTTTAATTTTGATTTTGTCACCCCAGTGAGATGGCACTGAGGACACCTTCCATTTGGTGGATCTTGTATACTTACAATGGCACATTGTCAATGTGGTCATTTCTCTCCACTTTCCAAAATGATCTCAGAACATCTTCTCATTCACGCTGGTTCCATCTCTTGAACGTTAGCTTCTCACTGTCCATGGGATGTTGGGTGGTGCCTGTGGTGCACACTCCTGGTTGGTGTGACTGCACACCCTTGGCAGCACCTTACTTCCTCTAAACCAAAATGCAATGAGTGATAAAGGAAAGGAAAGTTGCTTTCAAGAGTGGAAAATAGAAAGGGAGAGGCCCACAGAGCTGCAGGAGGAAAGAACGAAACATGTGAGCTCTGCGTTGGGGAAGCGGTTGCTTCAAGAGGAAACGGAAGATGGGTTGGGAAATCTGAGAGGAAAAACTAGGACATGAAGCAGGAGTGGGAGGGAAGGAACGTCAGACAGGGCCTTTTGGGATATGAAGCATGAGAGAGAGAGAGAACATTAAATAACCAGAACAGATGGATGAAAACAAAGAACAGGGAGGGGGTGCATTTCTTCTGGGAAAGGAGGTGGATGGTGAAGGCCAGGAACGAGCAGTGAGGGAGTGGATGACCTCTTTGAATCCCCATCACCCACTGAGGATGTGTTCTCTTCCCCACTCCCACTGTGAAAGGGGAGGTGTGATGGAGCTGCAGGGCAGGCTGAGTCCCAGCTGTCACACCTCATGGCCTTCTGTGTTTGGGGTCCTATCAGACGTTGTGGGGTCTTTTCTTCACTTTCCTCCAACCTTATTTTCAACTCTTGGTGTTAATCATTTTGCCAACATGAGGCATAAGATTTGATCTTGGTTCCCACCAGTTTGCACTTAGAGGCAAAAATGTAACTCGAACTTTTGAGAAGATGGAGAAGACACAGGGGTAGTTGGGGGCAGAAAATTCAGGAGATGAATCCTGAGCTGTTACAGACGGGTCACTTTAGTAAGTCTTAGAATAAAGCCACTTTATATTTACATCGGTGTGCCGTGATTCAGAAGGCATGAATAAGTTTTTCTGTGGCTGGTGAGTGGAGATGGTTTTGAGTTATAAAAAAACAAAGAATGTAAGGGACGCAATCCTGGGTTAGCTGAGAGACGGCAGGATTTCTGAGAGAGTGGGGGTGGAGGGGCCATCCGCAGACTTGCCGATGGACACTCATGAAATGTTTATAGGAACTGCATGTGAGGAGACACAGACGGCTCTGAATTTATCCTGTAACTGTGTGTCCACAACTGGAGGTATGCGAATGAAATCAAGGAAAGGCATCACAGAAATTATTTGTGAGGAAGCAGAAGCAAGGTGCTGTTCACTTAACGTGCCTTGAAGAGAATCCTTACCAAAATTTGGGAACTGGAAGCCTGGGAGAAGTGAGTAGCCTTCCAGCTCAGTGGCAGGTAGAAAAGAAATACCTCTTATATCTGAAAGAATTCCCAAGAGGGTTGAGAGCCTCTGACGTAGGTACGTAAAACCAGGAAGCTGACATTAAGACCTGTTGCACTTCTGTAACCTCCTTGAATTACTGGCGCGAGCCGTCCCGGTGAGGGAGCGCGTCGCTGGGTTCCGGGTCTCCACGGGCAGCGTACCGGTGATACTCAGAACCTGTTACACTCCCCTCTTTAGTGCTGGGTCATGAGAATGCAGGCACCAGATTGAAGCATTTATTCATAGCAGATGAAAAATACAAGTATCTATGAGGCATCACTGAGGAGGCTCTTAGAGGACTAATAAAATATTTACAAAATCACCTATATATGATTGCTTCAGTTTTGAAATATTTGGCTCTCACTGCATCATAGTAAGTCCTCATTCAAGTGGCCTCTCTGTTCTATGAAGGAAGTTCCATTCTACTGGAGAAGTAGAAACAGATTCTTGCCAGACTTGGACCAAAACTAAAAAAGATCTGGTTTCTGTGCACATGTGTGTTCTCCCTTTTACACACACACACAGAGCCAACACCCAACACCCAACAGAGGGATAAAATGGCCATTTTTAAAGACCTGTCATTGATTTCAGTGAATGGCATTCACATGTCAAATATTCAGAAAAGTCATCCTATTATTATGATAAGAATCTTATCTCTGCATGTCTTAACGTGGCACCTGTAACCCAGAGAGCCTGAAGCTGATCACAGTAGAGTTTTTCCAGCAATTAAAGACTATCGATACACTGTTTAAAATTTTTAACCTTTGTCTTTAAAAATCTGTGTGTCACATTTATTGTATATGCAGCCTCAGTAGATGACATCGTACAGATTTCTAGATGCAGGGGCAGGATTTCAGTTAGTCCTTGGATTGATGCTACATCTCTGTGTATACAAGTAGCCATAGACTGACCACCTGTAATGTGCCTCAGAATTCGGCAAGGCCTCTCAGGAGTGTTTGTACTTCATTTAATTCAATCCTAACGATAGCTGATAACCCTAAGAATAACGCTGAAGGGTATTACTATCCTAGTTTCAGAGCTGGGGGACTGAGGCCCGTGGTGGTCGCCCAGCTGGTGAGGCAGAGACTTGGAGCTGCAGCACAGGTGTGTGACTTCACACTCCATACTGCATTTTATTTTGTTTCATAGTCGATTTGTTTCTCTACTCTTTCTGCCTCCCCTTACTGTCACAGAGAGGACATTTTAGGATTGTGAGAACCAGAGCTGATCCCTCTTTCCCCAGTAGTCAGTGATCTTTTATGCTCTTGACCGCACATCCCTTCAACTGAAAGCTGTTGCCCTTTTTCAACTGTGACTTCCATGATGTAACTTGGAGTTGGCCTCCTGTTAGGTATTATCAACAGTAACTGAGTATTTATTTGATGATTAAAAATTTTGCCGGGAATTCATATAAAAATGTTCTTTAAGGCTGAAAAGTACATATCTGGCATCAGTTCATTACATATATAATGGAAATATTTTCACCCCATTTCCTTTCCTTGTCTTTCTCGAAACCCTTACAGAAAGGGATAATGGAGCTGCCAGCTGTGGCCATAGGACATCTGAGCAGTCTGGTTTATATATGTGAAAGACATAGGCCAGAACAGAAGCATGGGCCGTGATTTTTTTTTCTTTTTATTGTCGATAGGTGCAGAAGCCTCAACTTTCCACTTGTCTTCTTTGTGATTAATTGGGACGCCTTTGTTCTTGCCAGTGTAGGATCTAAAGCAGCCTCCGTCTTTGCGGACTGTCAGTGCAGCTGCTGTTGCATGCTGTTCTCTTTGTTGCTCTGTGTGTGTGTGCCTGAGGCCCAGGTCCTGAGTCCCCCTTCTCCTGCCAGGCTCTGCCTGTGCTTCTGTGGAGACTGGTAATGTTCTTGGATCAGGGACTTTTACAAATAGGTGTGTTCTTCCTTGTTGGCTTGGAGTGATCAAAGACCACCATGTTCCGTTTTGCCCAGAGCCTCACCTCCCACCCCCACCATCTTCAGTAAAATCCACAGCAGAGAGCTTTACCCTTAAGCCACAGAAAACAAATCCAACACCTGTGGCCCGAGAGCCTTACCTACAAAGGCCTGGAAACTCCCAGAATGTTGTTCATGAAGCACACCCTCAGTCTGGACTCCTGGGCGTTGCTGTGTCCCTTGTTGCTTTTCTAGCTACTTGTGAGACTCAGACCCTTTTGCAGAGGGAGAGAAGAAGGCCATGTTATAGCACATGATCACACATGTCAGGACAAATGCTAGTTCATGACACTGAATTCTGACTAATATCTTGGGGGAAGGAGGAAGTACATGCATATGAGTGTATTTTAGCTTCCATTTAACTCTCTAATTTTTTTTAACCTTAAATAAGGATTTCTGTCTTGATTAGTGGTGTTATTCACAAGAGACTGTAAGTTCTGCACTTGCTTTGCCCGTGTGATGTGGAAGGGATGTTTTCTTTTGCCATATCCCTACTCAGCAGGGGTGCTCTGACCGAAACCAAGAAACTAAATGGAAAGACAGTGCATGTATCTGTTCCGTGTTCTCCCCTCACTTTGGACTTAAGCTGGAAGGCAGTTGCGAGCCTTCATGTGCGCACTGAGTGATGGGCTGATTAAGTGGGTGACGCGCTTCTTCTCTTAGTGCTTGGCACGTAGTGAGTGCGCAGTCACCAGTAGTTGTTACTTTTCACCGAAGCTAAATCTACATCGCACCTCTCTCTCTAATGCAGATTTATGAGAGCCTCTTAGTTAGAGCCGAAGGTCAGTTTCCACCTTGCAAGGGTGCTTTAGGAAATGCTGACTTAAAATTAGAATTTTATTTTGTATACTTTTACATATAGTAGGTGGATTGGTTTGAAAACAAAATGCTGCATTGATTTCCTTTTTCTTAAATTTTATTTCTAGGAGATTTCCATAAATAAGTTCGATGTCATGTTTGTAGACTAAGAACTGACAAGCCAGTTGCAGACCACTTTCTTCCCTATTTAAATATAAAATCAAAACCAAGAGATTTGTAAACATCCTCATATTGATTTTTGTTACTAGAAGTGAATGTTGAAAGGGCCCATGAAAGCTGCTTTTTCAGCCTCTACTGGACCAGAGGCCTCTTTGGGGGAACCACTGGTGGCATCGTCTAATAAATAACATCTGATACATTAAATACTCATTTGAATGGATGTTCTCTAAAGGAAATGAAGCTTATTCCCTTGGCTTCCATGAGCCTTAGTCTCACGTATGTATTATTGTGCAATTTATGATGGTAGGGTTGTTTCCCTCTTAGGTATAAACTAAGCAGTGTCTTTTGACTCATTTTAAGTTGACACTATAGAGAACACCAGTAAATCACATCCCCCTGTGTGCAAATAGGGACAGATGTCTCCTGTCCCCCACCTGTACAGCCTTTCCTGGATCGAGCATCAGGGCTGAGCTTGTGGCTGTCTAGAACCGCAGTCCTAGAATTCGTTTCTGAGTGGGAGGGCAGTTGGGGGTACAGATCTGAAACAGTGGTGGATCTGAAGCAGTGATCGGGAGGTGTGCAAAAACGTGTTAACAGAGCAGGCCTGACCCTGCCATCCTTAGAGAGGCCTGGCCCTTGGCTGGCACCTAGGAACGTGGGTTTGGGGAGTGTTCCCCCCATTCTGAAATTGATGAGTGGCTGGCTTACTGTTCTGAACTGTTTGTGCATATATTACGGTGATGCTAAACACTTACTTTCCTCCTGGGAGTCTACAGTTTTGGGTTTTGGTACATGCTTGGCAAGGGGTGCCCTTGTGACCAACCCCCAGGGAAAACCACGGGCACTGAGTTGCTAACGAGCTTCCCTTGGAGACAGCACTTCACACGCGTGTTCGGTGCTGAGAGACTGAGTGCATCCTGTGTGAGCCCGTGGGGAGAGGGCGCTTTGAAGTGTCCTCTTGGCTTCTTCCGGACTTTGCCCCATGCCCTTTTCTCTTTGCTGATTTTGCTTTGGGTCCTTTCACTGTGGTAACTCTTAGCTGTGAGCATGATTATATGATGAGTCCTGCGAGTCTTACTGGCCCTGGGGTTAGTATTGGGAACCCCCAACACAGTAGTTAAGATCTAACTCATGTGGGATTCCGCACAAGGAGGGAGGCAGGAGTCTGAAGGTGCCTGAAGATGGGTTATGGATACTCCCACGTTCTGTGTCCCTGTCTTCTAAGCACTACTTCACTGTGGTGCTGAGGTTAAAAAAAACGTTTAGAATGTAACATAATTAGGTGGGCATTGCTGGCACATTCAGATCTCTTTCATTGTTTGCTACTTGCATTGGAACTGAGGTGTAAAGGAGGGAGAGGCTTAACATGTGTTGCGTTAACACATTACCTACTCTTCTCATAATCGGAAATCAGTACCAGTAGGAATTCTCCTCATTGATGAATTACAGTGGCAATTGACTCTCGTTTGGAAATGCTTTCTGAGTTAGCAGAATAAAATAACAGAAATTACCTTAAATTAGGGCTAATTTGGGGGGGGTGTTATTCCACTTCTTGGATATTTATCCAAATATGCCTTTCCTTACTACACCAGC